TTGGGGGGGGGGGAGCACAATCCATTTGACAATAGTTAACATGGCAATGTAGCGCTATTGTGTAAGGACCGACCTAATATACGTATCCAACCCTCAACAAAAGAGTTATTTGATAAGGAAGCATGTCACGTTGCTCAGAAAAACTCGATGAATTCTTTCGATCAGACTCGATTGTACTATGAACAAATTGTTCAGTCTACTGTACCAAACAAATCATCATATACAAAAAATGCATCAAAGATTAGGGGTTCCGTATACCACAACCCTAGTATTGAGATGTCACCTCAGCTTTATCAAACATTCATGCCTCTTAAATAGTTTGGCAAGGGCAAGTATGCTTGCATTTAATATCCCTGTTATATCAAACATTCATACCTCTTAATTAGCTTGGCAAGGTCAAGTTATCTTGCATTTAATATCCCACATGATATTTGCCCTTTTTTCTTGCCGATGTTGGAATTTTGCCCCAATAGAGATACAATCATCTGCTTCTGGTGTACCGACTTGTCCTTCACATATTACTGTGCCACAGTAATCATATCAGATGGTCTAGGGCCTGATGCAATCGATTAAGTGATAAATTTACTTCTTCATTTTAGGAAATTGCAGGGGTGGGATTCTTCTTTTTTTTTTTTTCTTTTATGGTGATTGATTTATACCCTGCATGTTCATTTCCTTGCACTGGATACATCAAAAATAGATGCATTCAAACAATTATTGCCAATTTCAAAAGAGATTTTGTCAGGGATAGTGTCTGTAATTTAAGATTTCACAAGAATAGATTATAATTTATTTATTTTTTATATCATCTAATATTATTTAATCAATTTCTTGTACCAAAAATGTCATAAACTGCTTCTATCTCCTCATATAGTCATATTGATTATTAGCATAATTTAATGCAAATTTAATAATTAGATAAGTAAGATTAGAATATAAAGCACTGACATAAAGGCAAAATAATAAAATAGAAAATTCATATTTGTTTCTACTTATTTGGGAAGATTTATAATTTGCTCTCTATACAATAAAGATAAATGTACACTAAAGAAGCTTGAATATATAACTTTACTCATTTAAGCTCGAATGTTCCATTTTTTCGTAAATAAAAATTGTCTTCTAGTTGCGGTTAAAAATTGTTGTTCATGGTATACTCTTCACGACAATTACTGCAATCCTCGTAAAAATTTATAGTGACCGTCGTAACTGATAAAAAACCTTGTTATTTTATGATTTTCTTTTATATATCTTTTATTCTAACCAAAGTCACATGTTTTGTTTCTCAGAACCTACAAGAAAGAATTATTGTAATAGGCTATGACATACAAATCTTCAGTGTAGTTTGTGCAGATATTATAATAATTCAGACATGAATTATACAAATGAATATAAGAAGAAGCAAAGGACCAGATTATTGGATACTTATCAAACAATGGGAGGTTGCATTTAGCAGTCTGACCACATTACACTTAACAAATGAAACATTAATTATATATTTAAAAAAAAAGGAGTACTGCTTCCATTTGTTGTGAGCTTGCATTTATATTCATTTAATACAGACATAAGATGTCCTACAAGTCCTCATTTTCTTTCCACCTTCCTCCCAACTCTCCTTTATACCTTCCCCCACCCCTACCAATCCCTGATCACAATTAATACCACAACCAAAAGGGACCAAACAGCTTGAAATATCCAAAGAAATTAAAGAAACCTCAACTCTCTCATAGTTTGTTCAAGCAAAAATGAAGCTGATTCCTTCAATATTCAAGAACAAAGAAGAAAATAAGCAGACGTGGGAATGGCCCTCATGCAAGCAACCGAAGACTCTTTCTTTTCGAGCAAGGGACGACGACATTTTCAAGACGGTTAACTCGGTTTTTTTCGATCCCTCTAATGGGGTTGAAACAACGGAGTCTTGGTTCACGAATTCCTCAGAGTGTGCTAGCTTTTCGACTGAGTCCGAGGAGAATTCAGGAGGAGGGGATCAATCAGTGGAGATGATTATTCGCGGGGCGAGATCAGAAAGCAGCAGGTTGTTGTTCAAGCCTGCGGGAGACACAAGTTCGATCTTAGCCGAGGCGAAAATAACGAATAAAGAAGTTTTGCCATTCGAAGGAAGTGTTGTCTTGGCAATGGAATCAGATGATCCTTACTTGGATTTCAAAGAATCAATGCAAGAAATGGTGGAGACTCATGGATTGAAGGACTGGGAATGCTTAGAGGAATTGTTGGAATGGTATTTGAGGATGAATGGAGAAATTAATCATGGGCTTATAGTTGGTGCTTTTGTGGATTTGCTCATTGAAATTGCTTCTTCTTCGTCAACATTGCCTACTTCTGATTCGACGTCGTATTCTTCTGCTGCTTCTGATTTTTCTTCTCCTCCTTCTCCTGTGTCTCCAGTACTAGGTCAAATAGCAGTTCACGAGGAAGATGGTACCATCAATGTACAATCTTAGCTATTATATCTTATTTTCTGTATACTATACTAGGTTTAAACCACATATTAATGGAAAACGGAAAAAAAGGGATTTTTGTTCTCTCTCTTAGTAGTTAGTACCAAACGCTACGCCCAAAAGTTTACGGCGTTGGAGATGATATACATTTATTATTTCACGTTGAATCACTCCATGTAAAAGTTAAGCTAGATCCATGAAACACGTTTATTTAAATTTTACCTTCAACGGCCGATCTTCTATCTTTGTGGGTGAACGAATCATATCTTTCTTCTATTTCCATGTTTTCACGAGGTGAGGTGGGGTGGGGTGGGGTGGGGTGTAATATTTGAAATTTCTATGAAATGCTCCACAAGAGATGGACCGTGCTTTGAATACCTTTGCTACTAATATGCATTAGCTTTATGCATGAATATATTTAACAATGATTGCCGTTCATTTGGGAGATGCAGGGTTTCAAAGGTCAAGGGGACATCCATTTTACACCTCATTCATACTCAAACCAGAGTGTACCACGAGGGAGGTTGGAAGCAATCTTGAAGGACAAATTGTTCTTTTGTCCCAGATTGAAAGATAAAAGTAACAGACTATCATATTCTTGAATTTGTTTTACGTTATATACACTGAGAATATGACAAACCGTGAATCTTTTCAAGTGGTGACAATCATCAATTGACTAAAGTAAAGCACGAAAAAGATCAGCAAGATATACAGTTTAATAAACCGCCAGATGATACCAGATACCCCTTCGTCCAAGAAAAAGATAGATTAAGAAATGTCAAATTGATAAATTCACAGTAATCAGAAACTCGATGATACTGCAAGCTACACAACTTCAAGCACTTTAGAATTTTCATATCTTGGCATCATGAGTATCAGCTCAACTTAATCTGAATTCTCGTACAATCCTTCATCGTCGGATGGCTCATCGAAAGATCGAATGTCAACCTGGTAGCGAAGAATTCCCCCAATGCCGCCAAATCCTCGGCAGAACTGTGAACCCTCTTGTGATTTGTTGGTGACAAACTCAAGTGTACAGCCAAAGTTTCTGTACTCGTTCGCAAACCACTCTAGCAATGGCATTTTTTCTTTAACCTCCAATTCAGAAGATGTCTCTGAATCCTTGAAGTTTATCTGGTCACCCTCCTGACCCTTGTTTAAGTGTTTAACGACAATCTCGTTGGTTGTACTGTTTTTTAGCACATAACGATTTATATCCAAATTTTCCCAAACAATCAGTGTTTCAACGGCTCCCATCTCCAAAGCTTTTATGGTGTCATCCACACCAAAAACATATTTTCCAGTATCTTGACTGATTTCTTCAAAAAACTTCCCTATCAAGCGCTTTTCTTGTATGAACTTTACATTGGAAAGAATTTCAGCAGATAATTCAATGGCCTGATTGAAACCATTTTCTCCTCCATAAGACACATCGACCACATTGAGTATCTTCGCTTGGAGGCGAGGGTCAAACATGTCGGATTGGCTCAGCTCAGTCTTGAAATCAGCTGATCCAGCAAGTATTAATCCCGACACATTTGGTTGGCTCGTTGCAGGGTTAATAAAAAATTGAGTAGCAAGCTCTGCTGTCTTTCTTACATAGTTGTGGCGCTTTTCCATTCGCAGACGAGCAAACCTAAGAGCTGATTGTCCTCCTCTTCCATGTTTCTTTGGAAGGTCAACTGTAAATTTGTGAAGCACTTCTCGGGTGTTACCACTTAATGTCCCAAAAAGAGTGCCATTTCCATCCATGACAATAAACCCAAACTTTTCATCAGATTCCAGGAGTTGACCAAGGGGTTCGGTGTGAAACTTATTGTCGCAAAGGTATAAAGAAGCATTTATGGGCTTAAAAGGCACAAGGTCAAAGGTGACCTTCTTCTCCTTTCCATCTTCAGTCAGTATAGTTCCAGTGTAGAGCACTAATCCATTCGGGGGAACTTTGTTATAAAGTTTAAGCCTCTGCTGAGCAGATGTGATTGCACCTAACACAGATTGACGATTCACCCTGCTCTTAATATTTGAAGCTGTTCCATACTCTTCTGCAAGCATTTTAGTGACCCGAGATACTTGGTCCCCTGGGGGTATGATCAGGGAGATCATGCTGGTACCATTTCCTCTAGCAGCTTCCAAAGCCTTGATCAATTTCTTTATTTTCCATATTTCAATGTTTTTATCATTTTCTTGACCTTCAGCCATAGTGAATTATGTCACTGAGGTATAATTATGAATCAACGCAACCTGACAAGAGTTCATGGACGTGATTAAAGTTCTAAATCCACTTTCTTAAAGAAAGGAAACACAAATTGAATACAATCCTCAAACGTCAGGTATTAAAAAGAAGAGAAAAGAAACAACCAACAGGAAGCAAACAACAAAGGATTCTACATTATTTACTTGTGAGATATACGTCATAGCCTTCCATCATAACAGGCTCTTTCACAAACTCAAAGAAGCGAAGAATGTTCTGATTGGGTATGCAATTATGTTTGAGAACCATACTGACATTCTTTTTTCTGGCAACATCCATCATGTGGATCCATGATATAGCCGCAAATAACATTGCATACGATCAGGAAAACTCGAAGACAAAACCAGAGTTACCAGAAATGACATCAATTGAGAACGGCCATTCTGGAATATAGTATCCTAGCTAGCTAAATTTAGCAATCTAAACCAAATTTTCCTACAGCTTCCCTCCCATTGATTTTTATGAGGAAAAAGGTCTTGCATTAGGGTATATATAGTAAAAACTAAAAAATATAATTCAATGCAATAATTCATAACATTCCCTTTGTCAAGCAAATAAATTATGGAAGTATTGTATTATATTGAAGTTCCTCATAATTTATAACCGGCATAATCTGCCAACAATCAGCGTATCACTCTTCTGCTGGCAAATTGTGACCCCCTGTCCATTCTACAACTGATGATGCAAGCACATAAAATGAGGGAAAATTTACGAGACGAATAAAGATGTAAAAATGGAGAACAAATATTACTAACAGATAAAACATGGTGTGTCAAATAGATTTTACTACCTTTATTGGGAGTCTGACCAACTATATAAGTAAACCTACCTCATACATAGGTAAATTTTATTTACTCTTAGGTTTTGTATTTCAAATCTTGTATAAATGGAGAAGTATGTATTTAGCTAAAATACATGCAAATAGACTCTCTAGCCTAAAATATAACAAAGTCCCAGTGTGCTGCATTACAGAATTCAAGCGAAAATGCACTGGCATTTTAGATCTTCAAGTACTTGCCAATCAGTCTCACTAGCGTAGTGGAATGCTCTTTCTTTATTAGTTAGGACTACCATTGAAGACGTGTTAAACCGAGCCTAACGGTCTACCACAGAGTCAAAACGCATGCGTTGGGCTCTCTTTCAATCTTATTTATAGTGGGTGAAGGTCCAAGGAAGTCTCTTTAGATTCATTTCCAGCACATTTTTTTCAGAAAAGGCACTCGCTTAAGCCAAATTCTTCCTTGCAAGAGTACCCAAAACGGGAGGCGTGTGTTGACTATGAACATGAGGCATGAGACCATGAAAATATCCTCCCAAGGGCCGTCCGCCATTGGAAACACCACTTCTCGTCCTGTGTTAAGCATGCCGTCAGCGTTCATCATGAGCTAGGATCGAACTCTCCATGAGAATCATAGTAGCATTACTTATAGCATCCTTGTTCGTAGATAAAGCGGATTCAAANAACTACAAAGCAGATTTAGAATTTTCTTTCACTCCAAGGCACGTGTTGACTACGAACAGGAGGCATGAGACCATGAAAATAAGTATGGGTTCTTTAAAAATCTCTTAATTCTGCGAAGCAGAAAAGCATGCACCAGCACCGGAATTCGTAACAGAAAGGTTTTTGGCATTGTCAGTATCCCTGAGACTTCTGCCAACAATTTATCCAGAAAAAGATCTAGGGAAGACTAATATATTTGGATATTGACCGGTCAACTTGACTGCAGTAAGGAATCCTAATGAAACATAATAAGCCATTTGTTCAATAAAATAGAAAGAAATCTCCCCAACATAGAGGGGCAGCCAACCCCAACCCTCTTCCTGGTGTGCATCCGAACCAAAAACTAGTATTGGCATGAGCACAAAACTTTACCGAAGAGTTTTCTCATCAAAGTTAAAAAAGGAAATTGCGAGCAATTTAAAATCACCATCACAACACATCATTACAACCAGCCATTTCCATCACTGTCATGATAACCTTCAAAAGTCTCCATTACCTCTGGCACTATCTTCACGTTCTGCATATTAACGCCTGTTTAGTTGAGATAAAACTCAATTTTTTAGCATATTCTCGGGAGCATGTTTCGGTCAACGTCTCAAAGATAACATCTGAGAATTAGTGCCTCAAACCAAAAATAAAGAAAAAGCTTTAAAATTTTTAGGGATATATTTCGAACTTATTGTGCATGTAACCTGACGATCAACCATTCAAACACTTGCCAGCAATTGTTCTCCAGAAAGTAACCATTTTCTTCGCTGATATAGAAGAATGACAAAGAAGCCAGATCATAGCATATCTGTTCCTAATTAAAAGCCAAGCCAAGTAAATGCAAATATATCAAAATAGTTTATATCGATGGAATTACGTCGTCAGCAACAAAAGGTTGCAGACATCCTTCACATAATAGACATTGGAGTTGTAAAAAATTTATTTTATAAAAAGTCTTGTAACACAACTGCATTTTCTTATTTATTCATCATTCACTGTTTGTTTTTCACAAGAAAAGAAAAAAGGCAAGACCCTCCTAGGAATAACCGGACCACATATTGAAAATCTACAAAAATAATTAATTCTCTTTAAGCATATTCCTCAAAAAAGGAAAAGAAAATGACGCCAAAATCCTGGACTTATTGAACAACCACATCATTTAAAAATTCAAGCTGTTAAAGAGTTTCAAATTTATTCATTTATAATAGTATATTCAGCACGCCCTTTGCATATGGCCAAATTCATTTCCAGTTCAGACTTCTGACACATGCAATTGCAGTTTTTAAAAATGCAAGCAACAAGATTTCAAGTCTTCAACCCAAAACTTGTACCTGCACTAGTACCATATTGAATCATCACTTCACCTAAAAGTTTATATTGATAGAGAGATCGGTTTGTCTATTTATTAAAATCATGCCCCATCACGTGCAAACTATACATTTTTCTTCAAAGGCCTAGCACGAAAAGTTTCCACTCATTAACAAGAAAATTTTCATTTAACAACATTCAAAAATTAATTCGGGAACCTTATCTAATCAACCTTATTACTTCCAAAATCATTTTGCATAAAACTATAGCTATTTATCAGTGACTGAGAGGGGTACACATGGAAAAGAACCACAAACCCAGAATTACAATCCCTGCTTGCTCACAACCGGCTCATAAGGAAAGCACCTTCCCCTATTGGCATAGTAAAATCAAGAGTTTCTTTTCTTTTCTATCTTTTCGAATACACAAGAATCTTACACTAGCAAACAAAACCATCCTCTTTTTACACACACATATCATCACAGTAACTATACAGATACATAATAGCGAATTTAAATACTGAACAGTCAGAAAAAGGGTTATTAAACTAGAGATTATACACACAGATAGATTTAACCAAAATCAAATCTTGAAATTCATAGCAAAGTGAAAATAAATAACCACATAGAAAAGGGAGTAAAATTATCGAAAGAAAATGAAATTTACGCACCTTCTGCTGGAAGAAAATGGTATCTAAACCCACATGAATCGGGCTGAAATTCTAGAAAATGAATATATTTATGAGATAAAACGTGAGGACTAATTTTCAATGGATTTTTTTCCCAATGTGTTTGACAGCTCAGTTTACTTTGGTTGCTACTACTATTCGGACAGGATTGTAGTAAGTCCCTGTTTGCTGAAGTGAAAGAATTAAACTTAGGGTTTGACTGATTGCAAATATGAAAAATTGGTGGAAAGAAAATATTTTATAGGGAATTAATTTATCTAGAAATTATTTTATTGAGAATTGTAATTAATTGTGTTTGATTCATATAATTTTTCATGAAAAATGTTGAAAATTTGGTGTTCGTTTGACTTTGTTTTTTATGAAAATTGTCCATTAAAGTGATAATATTTTCTACATTGGGTCTAGAATTTGTTCCAATTGCCAAAAAAAATTTGAAAAAAAATAATCATACCGAATACCATTCGTTTGGCTTTAATTGTCAATAAAAGCGAAAAAAATTACTATTGTGTTTAGAATTTTTTCCAATAGCCAAAAAAGAACTTGGAAACTACCCATCAAAATATCAAGAATTTATTTTCCTCAGAAATGTAAAAATTTTGGAAAGTTGAAAAATATTTTCCTGAGAAAATTTTGTCTATCAAACTCTACAGAAGTTGAAAAACGGAAAAAAATTTCCAATGTGCTATCAAATTGGGCCTAATTGTACATTTTTTTTATCGGTAAATAATTGTACATTTTTTTGTACAACAAGTTTGACACTCCTTGATGTATCAAAATCATGGGCATTGATTTTAAAAAGTATTATTCAAATCAATGACCATGATTTTTACACTTCATGAATATCAAACTTGATATATAAAATGAAGAATAATATTACATGTACATTATGGACACCATAATGGTGTCCGTAATGTACATGTGGCGCCCCCTATTGGGGGAGTGCATGTGGGCCAGGTGCTCCTCCCAATAGGGGGACGCCACATGTACATTATGGACACCATTATGTGTACTATACTGTACATGTAGCATAACCCTAAAATGAACGTATGTAGCAACTTTGAAGATGAAAATAGATTTTGATAAAGGGAAATTTTATTTGTACATAAATTGATGACAATGGAGATTGACAATCTCTCACATGCATACGGGTGATTAAAAAATTTCAAAAAAAAAGTGGGCCCCCTATTATGAGTGTTCGGTTATCCACATTGTCATCCATTTCGGTATATGTAGCATGGTTGTTTAATAAAAATCAATAAAATATAGGGATAATTGCAGTAGCGGTACCAAACCTTTCATTTAGTAACAGACTTTGCCCAAACCTTTCATTTATGCCACACATGGTANAACCAAAGTCAAATAATTAAAATTAAAACCCCACTCCACCCCACCCCACCCCATCCCATCCCAAATCTACAAAACTCAATTTGGAACTTCGAAAATGCTTCAACAAGCTCGGAATG